ATTTGATTATATGAATTTGATCAATGAATTTGATTGTTTGATTATATGAATTAGATTATTGAATCTGATTATTTGGTTATATGAATTTGATTATATAAATTTGATTATTAAATTTGGTTATTTGTTCATATAAATTTGATTAATGAATTTGATTATTGAACTTGTTTATTTGATTATATGAATTTAATTATACAAATTTGACTATTTGATTATATAAATTTGATTAATGAATTCGGTTATTATTTGTATTTATTTGTTTTAAAGAAAGGAAAAAGAAATAATCTGTTGATCAGAAAACTTAGTAATATAAAATTTTCATATAAATTTTAAATTGAAATTCAATACATTCCTTTTCCTATTTCTCTTTGTGTGTGTGTGTGTGTGTGTGTGAACAAATTTATGGATGTCAAAATTTCAGCATCCGTTAAATAATTGTTGTTGTTTTTTGTGTAGAAATGTCACTTTTCAATTTTTGTATTTATTTTTCATGAAAAATGAAATAATTATTTTTTTGCAATAATTAGCAAAATTAAGATTTATTCATCAATTCCCTTTTCAATTAATTCTTATTTTTTTTTAATTTAGGATTTTAATTTCGATTAATTTAGGAAATCTAATAGTATCATTCTTTTTTTTCATTTTATACTATAATAATTATTTATTATAGGAATTAATTCCAAATGTGAGCAACGATTTTTTAATCACAGTAAATTTCTTTAACCAATGAAAAAGAGTAATGAAAATTTTTTAATTATTAATTATTAGAATTTAAAATTATTCTATCCATTATTCTATTATTATATCTATTAATAGTTTTTGAAATTTAAAATTATTCTATCAGCTATTCCACTAACATATCTATTAATAATTTTTAAAATTTAAAATTATTCCACTCAGTAATCCGTTAACATATCTATTAATAATGTCCACTAATGTCCACTAATGTCCACATCCATAATGTCCACTATTCAGTATTCCGTTTAAAAATTAAAAATTATTCTATCCACTACACAATTCTTAAAATTTAAAATTATTCTATTCAGTAATCCGTTAACATATCTATTAATAATGTCCACTAATGTCCACATCCATAATGTCCACTATTCAGTATTCTGTTTAAAAATTAAAAATTATTCTATCCATTAAATAATTTTTACAATTTAAAATTATTCTATTCAGCATTCCGTTAACATATCCATTAATAATATTCATTATTCCATTAATATATATATATATCTATTATCATTTTCATTTATTAATTCAAAATGTTACAATTTGAAATTGCAACTTATATGTAAATTTCCTTTCATTCTTTTTTTACTGAAATTTTAAATTCAAAATTTTATTTTAAATTTAAAATCTCACATATAAATTATTTCTTTTCTTTCGTTCTTTCTTTTGCTAAATCTTTTTTTCTTAAATTCAAAATAATTTCTTAACAAAAAATAAATTTTGTACTTTCTTTATCAGAAAGATAAACTTTATCACCGAATGATTCATCGATAGATAGATATGTTTGTGTAAAAAAGGGAAATGGACGAGAAGATGATTTTTGTTAGTATTCAATTAGGTTTGTGTAATAATGAATGAATGATGAAGCAGTCATTCTTTCCTTCCACCCGTATACTCTTTCTCTTCCTCTCTCTCTCCCTCTCTCTCTCTCTCTCATTCTCTCTTTATTTTTTTATTTTATTTATTTCACAAAAAAAAATTAACAAATTTTACTTAATTAGAATAATTTCAAATTTCAAAAAATTATTAATTAAAAATGTTGTCATTACTTTTAAATGAATGAATTAAACTCTCTCCCTCTCAATTACTAATATTAGTAATTAGATTTAGTAATTAGATATATTAATGGAATAGTGGATAGAATAACTTCAAATTTAAAAATTATTAATTAAAAAATTTCTTTCATTGGTTAAAGAAATTTGCTGATTAACTTAATTGTCTGATAAGATATGAATAAATGAATTAAACTCATCCATTTTTATCATTCATTTATTAATATTAATTCATCCAATTAAATTCAATTAAATTTTTGTCATTTAATTGTTCATAATTAAATTAAATTTAACTAATAGAATTTTTCAATTTAAAATCATCCATTTTCATTGTTCACATTTCAAACTTAATTGTAAAAGTTAATTTAATTGTTCATTAATTTAATTATAAAAATTTAACTTGTTCATAAGTATACATTTATTACATATTCATCAGTTAATTATACCAGCTAGTATATGAAATATTGTTGGATATGTAATATATAAATAGTAGTATATAAATATTGGAATATGAAATAGAGAAAATGATGAAATGGATGATGGATGAATAGTTCGATTATCGCTGTTTACCCACCGGTATATCCTTCGATGATCCATTATAACGCTTATTTTCTACATATATATATATACTGTTTTCTCTATCATCATCATACCTTTAATCCATTTATTCATTTGTTTATTTAGCTGAATATTTTTGTTAAAACAAAAAAATTCAAATACATTTCAATTTCCTCTACGTTACAATTAATGAGATGATTCATATGGTTTCATTCAGCTATACATACTTTTACAACACTTTTCTCTTTACTTAATAATAATATTAATGGTGATAATGACTAGAGTAATAATAATTATAACAATATTAGTAATTATGATAATATTAACAATATTGATAATAATGATGATAATAATAATAATGATAGTTATAATAATAATAACAATAGTAATAATAATGATAATGATGATGATGATGATGATGATAATAATAATAATTAATAATAATAACAATAATAATAGTGATAATAATAATAATCTGTGATACAATTAATGAATGATTCGTATAATTTCATTCAGTTATTCATGCTTTTTCAACACTTTTTTACAATAGTGGTGACAATGACTAGAGCAATAATAAAAATAATAATAACAATGTTAATAATAATAATGACTATAATTATGATAATATTAACAATATTGTTAATAATGACGATAATAATAATGATAAGTAATAATTAACAATAATATAAAAATAATAACAATACAATAATAATCTAAGAAACAATTAATGAATGAATCTATGATACAATTTAATGACTATAATTTCATTTTCAGCACTTCTGATAAAAATAATATAATATTGCTAATGACAATATTGATATGACAATAATAATAATAATATTAACAATAAATAATAATAGTAATAATAGTAATAGTAATAATAATTTCGTTTTCCAACATCACTTCGTTTCATCTTATTTGATTAACAATGCACAATTCCAATCATTTATCATTATTAATAGAAATTTGATTTTCGCAAATTGAAATTATTACGAATCACGAATCAAATAATGATTATGGTTATATGGAGGTAATCAATGGCTATTATTCAATCGCATAAATTAGGTAATTTATAGTATTATTATTTTCCAGTAAATTTTCATACAGTTCTTCTTCTCTTCTATATCACGAAAACTTTTCCGATCGCTTTTTTTGATCAGATTTTGGAAGAAGATATTAAATACTGATATCAAATATGTCTTCCTAAAGCTTACATTAACATCAGACTCTTGTTCTTATTATTAGGTCATGAAGCGGAAAGAAATTAATTACTCACAAATGATGAAACAATTGATAACATTTCATTAATTAAAAATTTTAAACATTTCATTGATTAAAACAAAGAAAAATTTTTTTATCATTTCATTTAATGATTAAAAAAATTTCACTTTTCTTTTTGATTAAAATTTTAATACAAAAATTTTTTTACAGGTAGAAAGAGCAACATTGTTCAAATCGAAAGGATAGAAATATGTCGGTCGACAAGACAATCGAAGAGTTAAGCTATACATTAGCTCAATTAGGTAACCTGGTTGGTCATATTAATTCACAAATTGGACAACTTGCATCCAGGTAAAACCATTATCTTCTCCCATCCTATCGTTTATCTTTGATTCTACTAATTTATACTATTTATGTATTTCAGTATTTCATTAGGTAAGATTATTTTCTCTCTTCCTATCTTTTACCTTTGATTTTATTAATTTATACTGTTTATGTATTTCAGTATCTTTCTGTCTTTTATCTTTGATTCTACTAATTTATACTATTTATGTATTTCAGTATCTTTCTGTCTTTTACCTTTGATTCTAATAATTTATACTATTTATGCATTTCAATATTTCATTATTGCAATATTTTCTTTTTGTATTCTTTTTTTTAAATTAAACTATATTTGATTTGAATTTTTATTATTTCAAAATTTTAGGATTAATTTAACATTAGATACATTTGATCAATCGGTAGCAGGTATAGCTATTGATGCAGAAATTATGTCAAATCATGTTGCACGTACTATATCACAGGTAATTTTCAAAACTTATATAAAATTTACAACAAGATTTGATAAATGTTGTTGAACGAATAGGGTAAGTAATATTTCTGTATTAAATTTGATTTAATCAATTTTTTTTTTTTGAATTTATTACTTTAAAAATAATATAGTATAATTAATTACAGGTACCAAATGGATGGTTAATTTATTTATTATTGCTAACAATGATTGCTGTATTTTTATTACTATCAATTACATTAATATTGGGTACAATAAAAAGAAGTTTTGATGTATATGAATTATTCAAGAAAATTTCTACTTCTGATTCCGGTTAGATTTCGGTTTCTTTTATTTTTTTTTAAATTATTTATCAAAATTTTAATTTTAGTTTTTTTTTTTCAAACAATTAATATTGATAATTATTTTATCATTATATAAAATATTATCTAATTAAGTTGATATTTTTGCTAGCTTTATTTGAGTTAAGCTTACTTTTATTTACTCTTTATTCAAAATTATGTTTACAAAGAATTTAAGCTAACTTAATGATTGCAAAGTAAATAATTCGAAATGAATTACAATGAAAATTTTATTTCATAACCAGACGATATATACAACTAATGATTGCTTAACAATTACAACAACTATATTATACGAAATAAATCCATCCATATACAACTATATTTAACGAAATATATCCCTCCATATGAATCTTTCGTAATTTTTAATAAATTTTCAAATTTAAAATAAAATTTCAATCTGTCGAAACATTTTATAAAATATTATATATTAATGCTAATTCTTTAATAAAGTTTCAAATCTTTTAAGTAAAATTAAAATTTAAATTTATTATAAGAAGAAATCTGTAGTATTAGAAACAGGTGATTGTTATGGTGAAGAACAACGTAGATTAGAATCGAATGATATTTTCAAACAAGATCATATTTCAATATCCATGGATATGGAACATGAGCCAAGACGGGTTGGCCTCGAAATTAATGGCAGTATTAAAAAGCGAAGTTTGTTATATAATGCTTTTCATTTCTTTACATGGTAATCTTCAATTATTTATATTTTATTTACATTTGCTTGCTCATCATTGCAATTATTTATTTATTGTTTATTATTGCAATTAGCACAATTAGCCGAAATTAAAAATATTGTTTATTATTGTTTTCAATATTGATGTGCTGTATTAGTGTATGTATTTCAATATTAATGTATTAGTATTGTTTTCATTATTAATATATTGTTTACATTATTTATGTATTGTTTACATTATTTATTATTTATTATTGCAATTAGTAAAAAAGAAATGGAATGTAAAATATTATTTTTGTATTATTTATCTATTATTTATATATTATTTATAATATTTATGCTTTATTTATATATTGTTTACATTGTTTATATATTATTTACGATATATTTAATATTCTATATTTTATTTACGATATATTTACAATTTCTATATATTATTTACGATATTTATATTATATTTTCTAACCAGAAATTTAAATAAATTTTAGGATTGCCACCAAATATATCGAAACGTTTACAGTATCAGAATTATGCGTCATCATTTAGCAATGAGCAATATGGTATCACAACCACAACAACAACAACCGGACCATTAAATATTTCTACGACAACATTTACAAATAGCATTGCTCAAGTTTAAAATATCTTCTCTCATTTAAATGAAAGTATATTTTTCCTATTCTATTAATTTAATTAATAAATTATTGCTACATTAATAATTTACGCATAAAAGAGCTTTAATCAACAAACATAATTTAAGATTTAAATTAGAATATATATGATACGGTGAAATATGCTTGATACAAATTAAATTTGGCTTTAATTAAAGTTAAAATGTTGTAAAGTTGAAATTTCAATTTCAATTAATAAAGTTTAAAGGTCGTATAGATAACCAAAAATAGGATACTATAATCCCAATTTATAATTTAAATTAGAATATATAAATATAGTCATGATTCATTCAATTTAAATATTTATATATTTAAATCTATTTAAATGTTATGATTTGTTTACTTTAATCAACAAACAAATTATCAATAATATTTATTATTTACATAATGAATATGTGATAATAAAACTTTTTCTGTTTGTTTATTTTTCTTCTTTTCTAGCAAAAACTGTTTGATATTTTTTCCAAACTAAACTTAATCCTTCATCAAACTTTTCATCTTTCTCCTTATTCCTCCATTATTTTATTTTTGTTTACTTGTTTACTGTATTCTATTTTTCCTTCCAGCTTTTATCGCTGCAGTTTTTTTGTTTTTAAATTTATTTCTAAAATTTAAAATTACTAATTAATATGTTAATAAAATAACACCATATCATTGTTATCATTATTTCTTTGTTTACTTGTTTACTGTATTTTATTTTTCCTTCCAGCTTTTATCCCTGCAATTTTTTTGCTTTAAATTTATTTTTAAAATTTAAAAGTACTAATTAATATGTTAATAAAATAACACCGTATCATCGCTATCATTAAACAAATTATGCTTTTCTTTTTTGCATTAAATAAAATTGATAATAAATGTTTTAACATTGAACTAATAAATAATTGAGTGTGATTATTATTCATTAATTAGATATATATATTTTAAATTTAACTTTTTATTTTAATATTTTAATTTTATGTATCTCGTTTATAAGCTTTACGATAATTTATATGAATCATTATGAATCATTTATTCTATCTTTTATGAATCATTTATTTAACATTTTATGAATCATTTATTTAACCTTTTTAACATTCTTCTGTTAATGAATGAACCTCTATGATATCTTAGATTGTACCAAGTACCATAATCATTGTCTTTCCAATGTAACTATAAATTAAATCGTAATTAGTCATATGTAATAATAACGATCTCATAAATTTTTTTTTTTAAAAAAACGATTATTTAATCATTGTGCCTTCCGTTATCAGTGATAAATGATAAGTGTCGCGTCGTTTTATTTAAAACAAAAGAAATCTTCATGAATGAATATTTTCTACCTATTATTTTCTAATTTATTCAGCGGTATTTATGCTACAGCATCATTTTCAACTAATTTTATTTCCGGAAAGACGAATTCTTCCAGTTATATTTACCTTTGCTACCTGTTTAATTGGTTAATTGCAAATGATTAAGACTGAATGAAATTATTCGATTTGAAAATATTTTAGTAAGTAAATATAGCGTGGTGGAAAATTATTTTACAATTTCGAATTCTTCAACATCCGTCAATTTTCATCGGTAAGATGTAATATTCGTATTAATTATCATATCAATAATTAATTTTTTGCTGATAAGACTAGAGTAATAAATTTGAAAGAGTATTTATTTCGTCCTTTCCTTGTTAATTAAATTCACTTCAATTATTATTAATTATTATTAAAGTATTCGGAATTAGACAGACATATATATAAGGAAGCAACGTCTTAGAATGCCTTACATATTTGAATGTATAGTTAATTTTAATTGATAATTAATTTTAATTGATAATGGATTTTCCCGTCAGTTTTCTTTGAAACAATAAATGATCAAAATTAAAATAAAACTGGAAATTGTATTGAATATAAATTATAATAGTATTAAACTTTTCTAATATTAATTTTCTGATAAAAAGAAAATAATCAGTCAATTGAAATATTCGTGAAAGCAATAAATCTTTTCTCTTAGTATTAATGAAAAAATTAATAATAAATTTTTAATAGTCAAAATTGAAATTCATTTCAACAACGAAATTTTTCATTTTCAAAAAGAAAATGAAGGTGTAATGAAATTTTGCTTAATTAATTTTATAATTAAATTAATTTTATAGGTAAATTTTTTGAGATTTTACGAACATTTATATGCGAAATTTTCGTTTAATTATACAAAAAGATTAACTTACTTAAGTTAACTTAGTAAAGATTTAGTTAAGTAGAATTTTATTAAATGATAATAATTTTTTATCATTCTTTTTCTATTATCAATTATAATTTAATTTTTATCAATTAATTAATTATGATTTTGAAATGCGTCTTAACTAAATTAAACTTAACTAATTCTATTCAATATCTAAATTATTATTTAGTTCATTTAATTCTTGAATCTAAAATTATTCAATTAAAAATTGATTTTCCTTCAGATTATGAAAAATATTATTATTATTATTATTATTATTATCATTCGTAATTATTGTATAATTAATAAATTATAGATGACAGCGGATGATGAAGTTCGTAATATTCGTTGGACATTGGAAAAAATACATCAATTACTATCTCGAGTAGATAATGAATTTGAAAATGCTCTACCGGAATTAAATCATTTCTCGGTTAGATTGGAACAAATCATCAAAGATATAACAAATAAATCAAATGATATTCGTAATACGATTGTTAAAATTGCTTCAAATGTTAGTTAATTTTTCAAAAATACTTTTTCAATAAATTATCATTAAAATATAATTATGCTATAATTATCATTTTAAATTTATCAATTATTAATTATTATAAAAAATAATAATAATTAAAATAATTTATTTCAGTTTCCAAATCATACTGTATATTTGTTTACACTTCTTATCATAGAAGTTATAGCGGGTATTATTGCGATTTCACTTATCTATTTTATTATCATTTCATTCAATCAACTTTATCACAAACAATTCATAACACGTGATAAGAGAAGAAATCGACAAAATGATGAAAAAGATTTGCAAAAGTATAATGTAAAAACACTTAGCTATTACAGTGCAAAATTATTTTACAAATTATCATTTACATCATCTGATGTGCCATATGATAAAAATGATGAAGAATGGTGGATTGAAATGCATAATTTTGATAAACGAGAATTACTCCAATGTGAAAAAGTTTAGTATTTTAGGTTGATAATCGATGATAATATCCCCTAATTCAGTTTTTGAAATTCTTTTAAATTATTAAATTTTGCAAAATATTGTAAGATAGGAATAATTTTTGAAATGAAAAATAATACTGATAAATGAAAAACTGATAAACTGATAAGATATGATATGTATGTAAATGTATAGCCGTAAAAAAATTTCTCTTTTGAATGATTTAATTTGAATTGTCTTTTCATAATTAAACCATCCAATTGTAATTTTTCCTCTTATCATTTAATTTCAAATAGAAAATACCAAAACTTATTTTTTTTATGCTTTTCATTATCATTAAAATTGTTTTCTTTGAAATGATAATTTTATCTTTCTACCGAATAGATTTCCTTTTTAATTGATAAATTATAACGATCAATTATCATCATATGTATTGAAAATCTTTATTAATGTTAAGAAATCATAATTATAATATAACATGACTTAAATTTAAAATGATAATTTCATAATTCAAAATAGGTGAATGGGTCAAATTTGATTTTCTATTCTTCCTTCCATTACAATATCATCTCAGTGTATAGTTTTTGCCATATACCCTCATACCGTATTTAATACTTAAAAAATTTCTTATTCATCTTTCTTTCATTACAATATCATCTCATTGAATCTATTTTTATTATTGCTATATGCTTTCATACCGTAATACTTAATTTCTCATTCATTTCTTATTACCGTATTATATTCTGTACTGTATTGCAATAAGTTTAATAATTTACAAAATTCTTTTTTCGTTTTTTTCTTTATCTCTCTCTTTTTTTTTGTTGAAAATTTCCTTCTCAAATTGTTTGTTGTAATTTTTGCAGAATAAAATATTTCATTTTAATCAATTTTTACACAGAAGATAAGAGTGAAGGAGAAATACGATTTGTTGCAACAAAGAAATAATCTTTTATCGAAATACAGAAAAAGCGAAAAATAGAAAACAAAGAAAAATTAATTATTTAATTATTGTTCGATCTATATGTATTAGGTAATTTCATTTAATTTTATAATAATCATTTCTTTCAAAATTATTCATTTTAAAATTTTGTATAAATTAAATCAAAAATAATGTTCAGCAATTAATTCCTTACTAATTACAACACTAAAAAAAATTTCATTCAATAGTTGTGTGTTGAAATTTTGAAATGTATCGTAAAATTATTATCGAAGAAAAAGCAAAGCAAAAAAGAGAAAAACAATTCAATAATTAATAATACGAATTAAAACTTTATTTTGCAATGAAATTTTGCATATTACCTTTAATAATAGCAATTAGGCAATCACGATATGATTCATCACATTCTTTGCTAATTTCATCAATTAATTTTTTCTTGTAATTTTTCACGTATGCTTCAGCGATTGTTGCAAGATCAATTTCAGATCGTGAAATAATCAAACGAATTAAATCACCATCTCTTGTTCCACTAGGATTCTGTAGGAAAAAAGAAAGCAAATAAAAATTACACTTTTTAATATCATTTTTATTTTTTCGTTATCATTATATCACCATATTATTCAATTATCAATTAACACTTCAAATAAATCATTTATTCTTTTCACTATAAGATAGATGGTTATCATTATATCATCATACTATTTAATTATCAATTATCACTTTAAATAAATCGTTTATTCTTTTCACTATAAGATAGACAGTTTTATTATTCAATAAGATTTGTACGATTTATTTACATTTATCAATAAATGTTTGTTTACAAAACAACAATAATATTTAACAATACCTTTAGTAAGTTATTAAGTAAATCAGCAAAATATGAATTGCTATTTCGAGAATATTGAATTAATGCAAGTAATGCATTCTTCGCATGGCCATTAAAATATTTCTACAAAGAAGAATATTAAAATTTGTTGAAAAAAATTTATCATAAAAATTATTGTATAAATTATTAATTGATTGTTTGCACCTTTAATTCAAATTAAAAGGAGCAATTCAATTTTGAATTATTAATGATCAATTATTTCATAAATACTAATTCTACATATGAAGAAATTATATGTGATCTTCTATATTTCATTACAGTGTGCTTATAAATAAGTCATTCTGTAATTCTGTAAAATTCAAAATTCAATTATCGTATTTATCAAACTTAAAATTCATCTGAATTTCATCTTAATTCACCTTAAGAAATTAAAAAAGTCACCTTAATTATTTAATTAATTTTGAGAAAAAAGAGAAAGGAAAAATTTCAAAAATTCGCTAAGTGTTAACAAAATTAAACGGTTATATCAAAATGGCCTTGTTTATTTTTTAGTGATATAAAAGTAAACTTCAATATCTTGTTCGATTTGATGTCCAGCAAGTACCGCATATTCGACGGTTAAAATTTTCAACTGATAAGCTGGAAGTGATCCAATGATATTTTTCATTGCTGTTTTATCAATTTTCTTCTTTTCTGTCAATATTTCTTTCACTTCCTAAAAACAAATAGTAAATCTTATTTATTAAAATTGTTTTCTATCATAAAATTAACATATCATTTACAAGCTACATTTATTAATAAAATGTTGGATGGCAATTAATGATAATTATAATTATCAAATTTACTTGTTTAATTTTCTCCATATCAATGATTTCGTTTTTATTATTTCCAGCAATTGGTTTCTGAATAACAGCCAACAAAATATCTTTTAGATCACCAGTTATACGTGTAGCTATATCAATTACCAGTTTATTTCCTAGTATAATTTGATATTCATTTTTGATCGCAGCTAATTCCATATCAGTTCGTAAACAAAGAATTTCGATGAGTAAAGGCTCATTGATAGCTGTTTTCTGGAATCAATAATTAATATAATATTTTAATAATACTGAAGTATGACTGAATAAAGAGGAAGGAACTCTCAAGAATTTAGATATTAGAATTAAAACTCGAAATAGAATATACAATTTATGGGATTATATTAAGCGAATAAAATTTGGAAGATTGGTTTATAATTAGCAAGTAAAGAATTTAGGTAATTAAGGAGATGAAATTCTAAATTCTCCAGTTAATTGAATAATGAATCATATTCGATCCATTGAAATATTGAAGTAAACAGAGAAATTTAAGTAATTAGCTTAACCTGATTATACCTCAAGTAAATCAATTAATTTCAATTAATTAAATATAGCATTTTGAAAGTTTCGGAATTTAAAAAATAACATCATAAATTGTTTATAGTTATTCCATTTAATTTATTCTTTCATCATTTCATCCTTTCAATTTAATCATTTCATTCTGTATTTTCAGATTTAATCTAAATTAAATAAATAAACATTTCCTTATCCTATCAATTATATACACTTCTCAAAATGTAACATAGAGAACAAATATTTTATGTCTTGAATATGTTTTTGATTTTATATGATAATTTCATAGTATTATATATGATAATAATCTTGATAATAATACCATTGTAATAATAAATGTAATAAAATTAATTTGATAATAATGATAATAATTTTAACAATAATTCCACTGTAGTAATATTAATTTGATAATAATGATAATAATTTTGATAATAATTCCATAGCAATAATAATAATAATTCCATTGTAATAATATTAATTTGATAATAATGGTAATAATTTTGATAATAATTCCATAGTAATAATAATAATTCCATTGTAATAATATTAATTTGATAATAATGATAATAATTTTGATAATAATTCCATTGTAATAATATTAATTTGATAATAATGATAATAATTTTGATAATAATTCCATTGTAATAATTCTATTGTAATAAAATTAATTTAACAAAAAATCTGAATCCTAAAATTTGGAAAAAAAAAGATAGAAAAGAAAAGCTTACATTAATTGCTTTGATAAGTTGCAAAGTATCATATTTGGTTGGCGTTTCCATAAGTGCAATAATGATATCTTTATAATCACCGGTGAATTCATTTGTTAAATCAATCATTAAATCTCTATTATGTCTTATCTTATATGGTGTTTTAATCTGAAAATGAGTTAAATTTAAAGTAATTAAATAAAATAATTATTTCTTCAAAACAAAATAATTGATGAAATGAAATTAGATTTATTATCAAAAATAATAAATTATCATTTATTATTATCAAACAGTAGATGATTATCAAAGATAAATGGTAAAAGAGTAAAAGCGAACGAGGGAGTGTGAGAGGATGAGAGAATGAGAGAATGAAAAAGTAGAAAAATAGAATAGAAATAATAATTTAATTCTTTTTCACAAAATTCTTTTATTTACTTTTTAATTTCTTTTTTGCTCCTTGCTTTCGTTTACCAAATTGATTAATAATTCCAATTAATATTTATTTATTAAAATGATTAATAATTCCAATTAATATTTATTACTCGACGTGATTAATAATTTCAATTAATATTCCTTTATCAAAATGATTAATAATTCCGATTAATATTCATTTGTCAAATTGATTAATAATTTTAATATTTTTTTATCATAATGATTAATAATTCCAATTAATATTTTTTTTCAATATAATTAATAATTTCAACTAATATTTATTTATTAAAATGATTACTAACTCCAATTAATATTCATTTATCAAATTGATTAATATTTTCAATTAATATTTAAGAAAATCATGACCTTTACTTTTGTGCAAATTGAAAACATTTCGAGAAAAAAAAACAAATGAAATAATCAAATGCGATTTTTTAATTATCCTTAAATTATTAATTAAAAATTAATTACCATTTGTCGTTGTGTATTATTAATTTGCATAAGTATGTGAATTATTTGCATTTTATTCACATCCTTTTTTCCTCCCAATAATTTTGCCAATAAATCAGCAGTTTCATCATCATAAAATGGAAATTTTGCACCAATCGTTCCACGATATATATTATCTGTTCGAAGCATAACTCTTAAAAACAAAAAGTTTTAATTAATAATTAAAAAAATTAATCACTGATAAAAACTTAACAACAAAAAATTTGCATTTGCGTTTTCAAATTTAAATCATCCATTGTTTTTAGCAATTTCAAAATTATCATTACGAATAAAAAGTACATTCTTAAAATAATATGTAAAATTATAATTTGCAATATAAAATATAACAAAAATTTCTCTTCGTCTTTGCCGTCTATCAAATTGGTTAATATTTTCTTTTACCTATGATTAGTATTTTATTAGCATTTTCTTTTCCGTGTGATGATTTAAATTCATGATTGATTTCAATGAATGTTCTCATTTCAAAAAGGCAAAATGTTAATAACGTAAAATGAATAAGAATTGTTTTTTACAAAAACATAAAACGTGAATAACGTGAAATGGGTATGAGTGCTTTTTCCAAAAAGATAAAACATGAATAACGTGAAATGGATAAGAATGCTTTTCTTTCAAAAAAATGAAACGTGAATTACGTAGATTGGGTATGGATGGTTTTTTTCAAAAAGGTAAAAATGAATAACGTGAAGTGAATAAAAATGTTTTTTTCAAAGATAAAACGTAAATAACGTGAAATGGATAAGAATGCTTCTTTTCAAAAAAAAAATAAAACGTGAATAACGTGAAAGATTTTTGAGAAAATTTTCTTAACAAAATAGAAACAGAGAAAAAGATAAAATAATGAGATTAAACATTTTAAAAAATTTCTTCATTTTTTTCAAAATGGATACGGAGAAATAAAAATATGAATAACGTGAAATTTTAACCAGAAATAATGAAATAAACATGATATAATCATTTGATTAAACTTCACTAATTTAATGATAATGCTAACATTATCATTCATGACATGAAATACTACCTTTCAGCATGAAATAAAACTGATTAGCATGAAATAATCATTGATTGAACTTCATTAATTCAATGCTAATGCTAACATTATCATTCATGACATGAAATATTACCGGATAGCATGAAATAATCATTGGTAAACTTCATTAATTTAATGATAATCCTAATATTATCGTTTATTTTATGTATTTTTCTCTTTCACTGCAATTAGCTCAAACAAAATGATGGAGCGACAAACGAAATTATCAAAATTTTAATTGAAATGAATGAATAATTAGTCACTTGATGATATATATTATCATATTATCAATTCTTCGTTAGTAAACATCCTAAACAAAATTAGTATATTATTTCTTAAATTATAATTTGAAATTGTTCATTGAAGAATGAAAATTTATGAAATGAATGGCATAACGAATTTTTCATTTTCATTGTTTATTATAAAATAGGCCATCTAATAATAATTAATTATTATATGAGTGTAAATTTATTTTTAAATTAAATTCATTCATAAATTATGATCACAATTTCAGGTCATTTCACAACCATATTTGTTTATCCCTTGCGATGTTATGCATTTTGATTGCAAATTATTTGATATTAGTACTACCATCATCTAAAATTACTATTAATAATATTATCAGTAGGAAGGATGAAATTTATAAGTGAAATTTTATTTTTCATCGGTTTAATGACTTGTTGCCTTAAAGCTTAAAGTATAAAATATAACTGATAAAATCATTGCAAAATTATGATAAGATCATAGTTATTTTTGGAAATTATAAATAGATGAGGAAATGGTGATAGATGTGATAAAGGAAATTTTTTTCAGGAAACAGTAATAGTAAAACGAAGAAAATAAATCCGGAAATATAAATAAATGAAAAATGATAATGATCCTAGCAAAAACAAAAGTATTTGTTTATTTGTTCAGAAAATCTTTCCTGACAAACAAACAACAATTTGCAGTATAGATGTAATTTGTGGATTAGGATGAAACTGACCAATTGACCAAGAAAATATGCCTAAAATAATCAAAGAGTGTTTACACGTTTTCTATTTAATTTGTTAACATATGTCAATAAGCAATTAATATCCAACAAAAATGACAAAATTTCAATTAAGTAAAAAATTGTTAAGACAATAAAATCAATTCGCAATATTCATACTGTCTGTAGTTGAAATCAATTTGTAATATTCATGGTGTCAATATTAAAATCCATTTGCAATATTCATACTGTTAATAATTAAAATCAATTTGTAATATTCACACTGTCAATAATTAAAATCAGTTTGTAACATTCATACTGTCAATATCAAAATTAGTTTGTAATATTCATGCTGCCAATAATTAAAATCAATTTGTAATATTCATACTGCCAATAATTAAAATCAAATTGTAATACTCATACTGTTAATAATGAAAATCAATTTTTAATATTCATATTATCAATAATTAAAATCAGTTTGTAACATCCGTACTGTCAATACTAAAATTAATTTGCAGTACTCATACTGATAATAATTAAAATCAATTTGCTATATTCATATTATCAATGGCATGCCGATGATATTTTAAAAGCTTTTAAACTCTTTCAACACTTCCCTTCAATTATAGGATAAAAATGAAAAAGGTAGCATTGAAATGTTAACAATATCGTCATTTCATTTTCCCACTTCTATTCTAAAATATTCTATCCATTCTAAAATATTCTATCCATTCTAAAATATTCTATCCATTCTAAAATATTCTATCCATTCTAAAATATTCTATCCATTCTAAAATATTCTATCCATTCTAAAATATTCTACCCATTCTAAAATATTCTATCCATTCTAAAATATTCTATCCATTCTAAAATATTCTATCCATTCCAAAACATTCTATCCATTTCAAAATATTCTATCCATTCTATATTCTACTGATGTCCTTCTTTTCTTTTAAATAAATGCCTTTTTTTTTCCTTACTTATTGACAGTATTTTTTTTTTAATTAAAGATATATTTATTCACTAATCTCTGTAAAATATTTAATCAAACGATTCCTTTGCATTTTATTTATTTATTTTTTTGTTTTGCTATTATTGCTACTATTATTTGTTTATTTATTTAATTATTTTTTTTATCACCAGTAATTAATTATTACTTGTTTAATCATTTATTTTTATTACAAGTAATTAATTACTAATATCATTATATGTTGTTTGATAGCAGATTGCATATTTTGAATATAGTTAAATTTTATAAAACAATAAATATAACATTACTTATTTTTGCATATATTTAATTGAATGATTAAACATTCAAGCTTTATTTATGTATTTGTTTACTTATTTAATCGTTTTTTTTATTACCAGTTATTAATTACTAATATTCTTGTTATATTGTTTCATAGAACATCGCGTATGATATTTGAATATAGTTAAATTTTGTAAGACAATGTAAATATATCATTGGAGATTGAAATAATAAACTAAATTCTTTTACTTTATTACTATTACAATTAGTAGAGATTTTTATAGAAGAAAACAAATTATAAAATTCAATTTTTATAGGTATTAAATTTTCTCATTAAATAATCGCATATAAGACTAATATTAGCTGAATAGAATTGATAAATGATAAAGGAAATAAGTTGAAAATTTTATGGAAAATATTGCTGAAATATTGGCTCCAGGTAAAAATTAAATGGAATATTGCTCCAGGTGGAATTAAATGAGATACTGTTCCAGGTAAAACTATATGGAATAGTGCTCCAGACAAAATTAGGCGGAATATTATTCCAAATAAAATTAAATGGAATACCACTCCAGGTAAAATTAAATGGAATACCACTCCAGGTAAAATTAAGTGGAATATTGCTCCAGGTAAAATTAAATGGAGTACTACTCCAGATAAAATTAAATGGAATACCGCTCCAGATAAAATTAGACGGAATATTATTCCAAGTAAAAATAAATGGAATACTGCTCCAAATATATATTGTAATTAGCTCAATTAATCTAATAATTAATTCGAGTAATTCAAATTCAAGTAATCTTTTTGAATTTCTTTTTCAGTCAAACAATAATTACACTATTTATTCGATATAAATGTATGTATTTTTTCGTCTTATTATTTACTCTAATTAACCTCTAATTAATTTTGTTTCAATTGATTTTTAAAATCGAATTTCATACAAGAAAAACACAAGAAATTCTATTCGAAAGATTTAAATAAATGATAGCTGCAAAACTGGCAGCTCAAATCAGAAGCAATCCATCTTACAGCAACCCATTGATAACAATCATTTGATGATGAAAAAATGATATCGCATATGAATGATATTCATTGTATACTTCAACATACGACGAGTGTATTGAAAGTTTACGATTACCTGTTCTTTTCACTTTGCTACTTTTAATTATCTCTTAGAACTGTTAATTTTTCTTTTTTAAAAACAAAAATATCTCTCAAAATATTTATCTCTTGCCTGTTTTTGTAATCTATTTTAAATTTGTCTTGATAATTCGAAGTGATAACTTTACAAATTATCATTAATTAACAATTATCAAATGAAAAATTCTTCAACATAACTATCTCACAATTGTAATTGAATAGTAAAACAATATGAAAAAAATAATTCATTAAGTTTGATTAGAAAAAAGATCAAAAAAAATGATGTTAATTGGTAAATTCAATCATTCAAGTCAAATGAACAAATATTATTTTAAAAAATTATTGGTAGGAAGTTGAAGGAATATTTAGTGATTAGACTAAATTCATTTTAAAAAAGCGATAGGGGATGTGAATTCCGATAGGTGGATTCTTGCAGGATATAATGACACGGAAGGTGGATTCTTGCACAACATGACATGGAAGGTGGATTCTTGAACGATATGATGACATGGAAGGTGGATTCTTGCAAGATACGATTATAGGGAAAGTGGATTCTTGTAAGATACGATTGCAGGGAAGGTGGATTCTTGCAGGATATAATGGCAAGGAAAGTGAATCCTTGCACGATGACATGGAAGGTGGATTCTTGCATGACCACGATCCACTTTCCATGGAAAGATGTAAATTCATGCAAGATGATAGAGGATTACTATAAAAGATGAAAAAGATGGATGATTTAAGAGGTGAAAGGAAAATGAAGAAGGGGCTGGAAGAAACGATAAGAAGTGAAACAGAGAATTGAACAAGGGATTGCTTCAAAATTAACCAATTGATTCAAAAATACTCATTGCAATCCAAAGTAACCATAGAATTACCGTATAACTGACATTATCAGTATGATAATGTCAGTGTCCATGTTTCAAAGGAAGAGAGAGAGAGAAAGAGATAAGTAATTTTTTTAAAGCAAAATATTGAATTGCATTTGAAGTTGAGAAATATAAAATAAGTAAAAAGAACAATTATACTAGTGATAACGATGATACTGATAACAACACTGATTAAAACGATAGTAATAATGTAAATTAGTATGCTTTTGTCTTTTTTACAATATGGAATCTGATAATAAAAAGAAATTCATTTGCCAATTATCTTTGATAATTTTAGGAAAATATTTGATTCTGTTCTAATAAAAAAAAAATTCTGTTCTAAAGAAAAAAACTGATAAAATTTGATTAACTGATAACATTCGACTAAGTTATTTTGTAACCTCTAATTAAAATCAAATTTTAATTAAATTTATCAAAAAAATAAATGTATAAAATGTTAATAATATATTTCGATTAATAGTAATGTCTTAAATATAATGAAACTTTTAGGCGAATTCTTCCAATGTTTTTAAATAGCAATAGTTTTTGTTAAATTGATTACTGATTATTTACTTAATTACAGTACTAAATTCATTGATTCAATTGATCAAGTAAATCAACTGTTAACGATACATTAGAGATATCCGTATAATATACAATTTTTGTAATATAATTGTTAATTAAGAGAAAATTATCAATGATAGGATAGATAATATTGCAAAAACAAAAATGATAAAAGCTTATTAACGTGTGCTAATATTTATTCAACTGATACCAAAAAATATCAAGAGTTAAAAATATTAAATATTAAAACTATTATTTAAACTGATACGTTAAATATTAAAACATATTTCACAATTAGGTAAATTATAGTGATAATAATAATACAATATATGCATATATAATATA